TGTTGGACGAGCACTTCTTCCTAGAATCCGCTCCCTGCCACAACACCAGGAAGAGTCAGTTGTAAGTGGTTGTCAGATACTTTTGAGTATTTCACCAGCCACGACCTCTGGCCGCTTAACTCACTTGATTGTAATCCCTCGGGTTAATATCTGGTGGTACGGTTAAGAAAGACAAGAGCCGCACTGCCTCTAATACCAAGACCCAGATGAGCGAGAGGATTAAGATGGTGTTTGGGGCGCTCCATAGGGACACAGGAAAGGTCGTATGTTCCAGATTCCAGAGTCAGATTGAGGCCACGGTATATTCTGAGAGTGGTATCTTTGAGTGAATTGTCTTTTGAATCATATAACCTGGATTCCAATTTTTTTTTCTATTTGATTGATTTTTGGCTTAGTTATTCACTCTGTTTTACGTTTTAAAAAAAAGTCAAATTTAGGCGCTGTCTGTATATTTATGTATACATACATATGATGAACTCTCCCGTCGGTTTCGACGTATGAGGCTCCGACAAGTGACACACACATATATATATATATATATATATATATATATATATATATATATATATATATAAAATAAATATGTTGTAGTGGTTCCAACGATTAATTTTTCCTTGTGTTCAATGTTAAATATTCTCGATATGAGACATTCTCTGTTTGTGTGTTGGTAATCCAAATTTCTTTCGTGAATTCTTTCTTGAACACACATATTGAGCACTTTCCAATAAGTACTGCGCATATATAACATATAAGTAATATATATAGTAATTGCATATATATATATATATATATATATATATATATATATATATATATATATATATATATATATATATATATATTTATTGAAATTCACAGAGTTAAAATATTTAGTTGGATTGATGTGAGTTTGTGACCCTGGGTTTCATGCTATTTGCGATCGCCAGACAAACTGATTAATTTTGAAATTTGGGATTTATGGTGCCGTATATCGGTGTTTTTTTGTGGTAGTCGGATTAAAAAGTGTCGTCGAAATGCAACTCATACGTTTGCAGGCACACATTCACGAATGTTCACGCATTGCAGCTCACAAAAATATAAACAGTGTGGGACTGGGCGTATATGTGCGTCCATGCGTCATTAGGGTCACAACCTCACATCAGTGTAACTATATATATATATATATATATATATATATCCAGGTAAGATGAGAACTAATAGAGTACAATTACATCGTTCATACATTTATTAGGTTGGTGCAAAAATAATGACGTAATAATGTCGTTTATGGACGTATTTTTTAACGTCAAAAAACGACATTATTACGTCATTATTTTTGCACCAACCTAATAATATAAAAAGGAGAATCAATACAGAGGAGAGCAATATCTCCCGGTCATGACGCATTTTCTAAGAAACTTTAAGTATATTGAGCTATATTTATTATAGAACATAAAAGTGAATTACAATAATGAAATCTAGAAATTTGAATTTTTTTATTTTTCAAATTTCTTAAAAAAAACAAAAAAAAACAAACTTTAGAATGCATTTCTTTAACAAATGTATTTGCATTGACAAATCCCAGGGAGATCTCCCAGGGACAAAATGACCATCTGAATGGGGTAATTTGGGTTTCATTTTTATAATTCACACACACACACACACACACACACACACACACACACACACACACACACATATATATATATATATATATATATATATTTTATTTATTTTAGGATATTAAAACATGTCAAAATCGCTACACACTTGCAGTCGTATTTCGACGCATACCGATGCGTCTCCTCAGGCGATTGTAAATTAATGGCGAGTGAACGATTAATTTGGTTTCAAAAGCAAAATCCATCATCTTTTTACGAAAAAAAAACGTTATAAGACTAGGGATCTTTAAGCTGAGCGACCAATCGTATATGACCCACGTTCAGTTCATAAATAAGCGAAAAAGAAAAATTTAAAGTTTCTTAGAAAATGCGTCATGACCGGGAGATATTGACAAGCGTACGTCATAGTGGCATTAACGCCTTGTTTGGGTTGAAATGGTTAAAAAATTACTGTTATATAAAAATCCGTGAGTAAGTAATCCAAGAAGAATCTGTTAATATATAATATTAAAACTGATCCACAAATGGTACAGGGTCACTGGGAGTGAAAGAGAAAGGGAAGAATTCAGGAGAAGTAACCGGAAATCCAATCTTAAACAGGAAACGAGGGATAAAATTCTGCTTCTGTTCATAAGGCGGGGGAGGAGTGTGAACCGGGCGATAGGCGGACCTATGGCTGAGACAATTGATGTTATTCTTTCACGAATGTAGGTGTATTTTTTGCCACAAATTTCAGGTTTCTTTCTTATTGTCTTGCAATCAAGTATAGCCTTTATACTGAAAAGTTGATGGACGCTGTCAAGTGAGATCGAGAGTTGAAGCGGAAACAGGGAGGGAGTAAGAGAGACAGAGGAACAGGGGTGCAAAGGGCATTATTAAGCGAGTGAGTAATGAAGAGTGTTGGGACAGAGAGAGAGAGAGATTAAGTGAGTGAGTGTTTGCTTGAATGAATTCGACAGAAACAATCAGAGAGAAAGAGAATTAAGAATAAAGATAGTGATATATAAGATAGAGAAGGTAGAAGATTTTATAGTGAGAATGAGAGATAAAGAGTGACTGGGATATTGTGTGATAGAAAGTGAGTGAAAGAGAGAGATAGAGATAGAGAGAGTGAGAGTTAGAGAAAAGTGAAAGATAAAGAGATCATGATTGAATGAGTGCGAATTTGAGAGGGATTGACTCAGGAATAATCAAAGAGAGAGAAAAAAGAGAGAGCGCGTAAGAGTGATAGATTAAGAGAGAGGAGGCAGAGAGTTTAGCAATGAGAGTGAGAGTGAGAGAGAAAGTAATATAGTGAGAGGGTAAGATAAGGGAGACATCGGTAGAGAAAAGGAGTAAGGGTTAGTTCCAGAAAGACAGAGAGAAAATAGAAACAGAATGTAATTGAGGGAGTGGGGGGAGAGAGGAAAAGAGGGTATGAAACATTAAGAGATAGGTGACCGAGAGAAAGAAAGTTTGGAGGTGAGGGAGTGACTGAGAAGGACAGACAGAATTATTTCGATAAACCAAAGCCCAGAAAATTAGGAAATTTTTACGAGCCAGAGAAAGAATTTATTCGCAAGTCTAATTATAAAGGTTGTTCTGTGTTTGTTTGTAAAAATATTGGTTAGTTTTTGCCTGTGCGTGTATATACACGTAATATCCATCCGTTAGTAACTATCTGAGTGTTTATGGGTTTGTGGTGTGTGTGTGAAAGAGAAAGAGAGAGAGTAAAAGAGAGTGAGATGAAGGCGAGAAAGAGTGTGTGTACATCTAAATTAATAAGCGTATATATTAATGTTCCAATGTACCTGTATGTAAGAGTGGGCGCTGAAAATTTCGTTTCCTAACCAATTATCATTTCGCCAATAATAATAATAATAATAATAATAATAATAATAATAATAACACAACTTGATGCTTAATCATTTGGTCAGTTTTTAGAAAGTTGTCTAAGCCGGAACTTTTCAACACACGCCGTATCTGTATGAGGCCAGATCATAAAGTCTACAGCCCACAACTTAATCATTAGTCGAATTTTGATCTGAAATTCTCACTGCATAATGTTTGAGCTACCTGATTGATATTCCCAATTGAATTAAGACCTTTTAATAAAAAAATAGTCTTTGTATAAAAATAAATATTTTTGTTATTTTGCAAAACAATTTTGTCATCATTCGTAGTCGTTGTCTGTCACTTAGACACACCCATGGACGAATTGTCCGAAATCGGAGACGTCCACGGCGCCGAGCAGTGTCCCAGTCTTGTGTTTGTCCGAATAATTGTTCTAAGCCCGAGGGGTCCATTATTTGCTGTTGCGGGTCAAAATAGGGGGGGGTAGTTCCTTTCTTCGATTGATTGACTGATTTCCTTCTGCGGTATATCAACCTCTATGGGTTAATTAATACCGATATTTTGAACAGAATTTAGTGGCTTCAACAAAAATATACTTTGTACGCTTTTGTATAACTTCATCATCATCATTATCATCATCATCATCATCACCACCACCATCTTCATCATCATCACCACCACCACCATCATCATCATCACCACCACCACCATCATCATCATCACCACCATCATCATCATCACCACCACCACCATCATCATCACCACCACCACCATCATCATCATCATCATCATCATCACCACCATCATCATCATCATCATCACCACCACCACATCATCATCACCACCACCACCATCATCATCATCATCACCACCACCATCACCATCATCATCACCACCATCATCATCATTATCACCACCACCATCATCATCATCATCACCACCACCACCATCATCATCATCATCATCACCACCATCATCATCACCACCATCATAATCATCACCACCTCCACCACCACCACCACCACCACCACCATCATCATCATCATCACCACCTCCACCACCACCATCATCATCATCATCATCATCATATATCCCTTTGACTTTTGTAATTATAAAACGGATCCGAATGCAGAAGCCACATTAGCTCTTTCCACACAACGGTCTATTAAAAGCAGCCCTCAGCAATTCTGGTACAGTATATAGCTGTTCATTGTTTGACATTGTCCACCCAGTTTTTGCGTTGACGTCCTCTCCTACGTCCACCTTCAAAGGTGCCTTGCATGATGGTCTTGAACAGGCTGTCGTGCCTTGTAATGTGTCCAAAAAACACACCATTTTTCTCTGTTTGATAATGGCGAGAAGAGGTTCCTAGTGCCAGACAAAACTTTCAACCCTTTTCTGCACAAAGTCATTATTTTTGTTTTTCCCAACAAAAAACGCCAAGGAGTTTTCACATGCATTTGTTCTCAAATTCTTGGATCCTTCTCTCTGTATCTATCAACAGTGTCCACGTCCATATACGAGAATGGAGACTACCACAAATTTGTAGAGTCTGTACTTTGTTTGAAAGTTGATTTTGTTCCTCCATAATCTTGTTAATTTGGACATTGCTTCAATTGCAGATAAAAAGAATTGTCGGTAATTTTGCTATAAAAGGTATTGTTGTTCTTTTTACTATAAAATGTATTATACTTTCATAGTGTTCTGTTATTTTTTTTTTTTTTTTTAGTCTTCACTAATTGTCCCTAGATATGACCCTAACAGGTTCTACCAAACCGGGTTACGGTAGAACTAGGATCAACAGAGGTGAATATGAAATATGGTTGGCCCTGTCCTGGCGTCTCGTCTACAGTCACTTTCTCACATACGCGCCGTCGCCTCTCTCTGTCTGTTTTACAAATACTTTCATGGAAATGGCTCCGTGGAGCTGCATTCGCTGGTTCCCAGACGTCATGAGTTCCAGCGCCCTACGAGGCTGGCATCCCGCTCTCACCCCTTCACTGTCAAAACTCCTAAATGTAGCCGTCTCTTCTACTCTAATAGCTTCATGTCTCGTACCTCTCGCCTGTGGAACTCCCTTCCCTATTCCTGTTTCCCTGTGAGCTATAATCTGCAGCTATTCAAGTGTAATGTCAATCGACATTTCCAGTTGCCTTGAGCTATCCACTACCCTCATCCTTTCTTCTATCACTCCTATCTGATCTTGCTCTAAATTTTCTGTAACCCCTTGCGTCCTAGTGGCTTCCCGCCTTGCTTGGGGTGAAATGCTTAAAAAAACAAAACAAAACAAAAAAAAACAGCTATTAAGCAGTGGTTCAACGCTCCTCAAAACCTCCAATCTCCCGATCAGAGGCCTTGCTGCCAGATGTAGTTTATCGTCTCCTTTCTCCGAGACAGATTGCGAGGTGGATTTGCTACCTTCATCTAGCCTTTGGATAAAGAGGCAGAAACTACAAGACAGCAGGTACTTCGAATTAAGAGTTTTCTTATCCTAGACTGGTTGCCAACAAAGGCTACAGAATCCAGTCAGTCCTGTTATTTAACCATAGCTGAGGGGGAGATATAGAATCATATATTTCCCAAGGGTATTTATACGAAATTGAATGTAAAGAACACGGATGGCATTCAAACTCCGCACTCTGATTCCTCAGTCCGTGCTGCTAACCATTATTCCACTGTGCCTTTTTTTCATTATTAGGAAGTAGATATAATATACCTACGGATGTACAGTTTCAAATATATACATGGGGATATGTCGTGTCCGAGTACGGCCATTTGTATGAAGTTACTGTTTATCTCTTTGCCGCTGATGACGTCTTTGGTGTTTCATTAGTCCAGTGAATGATCTACATTGTAAGCCACGGGTTTTGCAAGTAAGATTAACTCCTGCTGCATTTTTATCATAATTCTGCACCTTGTGTCGCTAGGTAAGCTCACTCGCTGATCTGCACACTTTGATGCATAGATTGCAAACGAAATAAGGCTTGACATCATAATGATAGATTGTGTTGTTGTGGCGACGTACGAGACTATATATCTAGTCGATGAATGGTATGTGCGCCCAAGTCTTTTAGTATATTTTTATAGAACTAAACTGGAGCCAACGATGTTGGTCTCTATGCCAATGTATTTAAAACTGAATTCATAGGCTTCAACCAGCAAGGCTCAATACAAACTATCTGACGTGAATCAATAATATCTGTCGAATCTTTTACATACATACGAAGTGAAGTAAAGTCTAATGAAAATGATGCAAGAATTCGCATAGCTAAAGCTTAGAACGCTTTGAATAAAATAAATATAATCTGTAAATCTCATCTACCAGACAATCTCAAACGTACCTAGTAAATGTGAGTAGGGGTCGTTCCCGACCTGTTCCCGGCCTGTTCCTGGCTTCTCCTTTGGTTATAATCCAAATCCAAATCGAGATTACCAACCTCCCCAGCTTGTTTTTGGTCCTACATTTTTTTTTTTATCTCGACTGGGTCAGCTTTCTTCTTTCCCCATGGCCGTATTTATTTTATCATTTACCTCACCCTTAGTGAGAGTGCCTCTTGATTTTGTCTAAAGGAAGAATACAGCGGTCTCTCTGAATTCTTCTAAAGGTTTGACGGATCTAGCTAATATCAGTTATCCTTTTATCTTATGTATTTGTGTTGATTTTTTAGATTGTGTTAGGATTCGTTCCCTCCCCACTCAGTACGTACCACTCACAGATTTTTATATATAGAATATTATAATCGTTAATTTTTATGTCATGGTGTGTTTTTATAAGTCCCCTGAGAGTATTGCGGTACTGTGGTATATGGAGGATTGAATGATGATAGATAAGTTCTTTTGGTGGATGTGCAAATTGTATTTTGTGAATGGGCCGTAAGTCTTATTAGCTAGGTTTAAAATAGTAAGTAAAATAGTAACAATCAGGTTTAGTAGTAATTGTCTGAACGCGACTTTGTTTCGGACTGCCTCTGACTCGACTGACTGACTCGCTCGCTCTGACTGACTGACAGACTTCTGATGGACGTCACTCCAGACTTCAGACTGAACAGTATTTAGTCACCCCCCCCACGAGGGAATCATGTGGCACAAGGCCGGTTTAACGTGGGATCTCCGAGCCCGTGGTTTCGGCCAAAAATATGCCCTTTGAACCCGTATAAACGGGTTCAGGGTCGGTTTACCTCCCCGAAAGAGACTCCGCCCTTCGGCGTAGCCTCGTTCCAGTTCCTCCCCGCCCGAAGGCAGAGAGTTCAACCGATCAGCCGCTCAGCCGGTCGTCCGACTTCCGACTGAACTCTCTGCTTCCTCTTGAGGCGCAGTATTTATTACATATGGAATTATGTTATTATGGGTAAGGTCCCATAACACACCTAAACATTACAGCATACCGTTTTCAAACTTCTGTTGGAGTGAATTGCGTCATGATTCTCTTTTTCTTAAAGACGGTGCCCAACTGACCCTACTATATAGTGCAATCGAGACAATCAAAAACAAACAACGCACATGCGCGAAATTAAAAAATATAAAACGGCGCCAATTTACCCATCGCACTCTGTATGTTTTGGGTATAACAATAAACTACATCCGGTAGCGAAGACTGTAATCGGGAGATTGGAGCTTTTGTGGAGTGTGGAACAACTTCTTAATTGCTTTTGTTCAGAGGTTCAATCTCTCCTTGTGTGATAACATCTGTTAAGACCCCTTCTATTTTCAATTAGTGAACCCGAAGGTCACTCATCGACATCTTAACGCCTCCAGTAACCACTGACTGAGAGAGAACTCTTTGTCAGGACATCTCCCTGGGAGAAGGTAAACTCGGATATAACACATGTGGCACACAGGCAACCGACAAAGTTGATATCTTCTTTTTTATGATCATTGCTTCGTTTGAACACAGAGTGGGATTGAACCTGCGTACCGTCTTTCTTCACTTTAAAAATGTAATGCTCAGGCATTTTACGATATCTTTAGAGGACTTTTTCCGGATGTTGCGTATGGCTAGCAGTAATCTTAACAGTCCTGACTATTATGATAAATGGAAAAAAATGCAAATATTTAGATGCGATTAAGACTCATGCCAGTGCGTAGCAATGATGGATCTTTGCAGAATGTCGATGGCTATTCTCATTAACGAGAAGGCAGCCATCATCTATGTATGTATGTAACCTAAGAAGCGTTTCAAGCACTGTCAAAGACTTGTTGTCGCAATCCAATATCGACGTTCACAACTGAGATGTATAAGCCGGCAATAGAAACATGGAAAGAAATCTAATATATGAATGTCTCTCATTCCATGCAAAGGCAAAGACACTAAACTAGGCAAAAACCAGAAGTGCTGCCCGCAGTGAAGAGGAATTAGACCCAGCTGTTCCTCCGTTTGTTTGCCGTAAGGGTGGCCGAATATGTATGTCAAACGCAGGACTAGACAACCCGCTAACAGACGATACTCAATTCGTTATTGCAGACCCGATTTACTGTGATCTAAGCGGTAAAGTCTGTAAGAATTGCAACGGAGTCACGTGACATTTGAAAACTTATGATCATCCTCCATCTGAGTGGCCTAACCCTCAGGTCGAAAACAATTATTTAGTTTTCATTTTTTGCGGCAAAATCTGTAGAGCTAACGCCGACTTCAGGAGTCACTGACGATTTCACGCCCGAAGGAACGTTCTGTTATGTCAAACTGTCAGCAATGGTAATGTTCGTCTAGCGAGTAAACAGCGGTCATATATGAATGTAATTTTTAGCCACCTGAAGAAACGTTTTATATTTAAAGTTGAAACAAAATATACAATTTTGTAGTAGATATACATGTTGTAATGTAACAGTGTATAATAAATATTTATTGCTCTACTTTTGTATTAAGCTCTGTTTTAAATTAATGCTTTGAACGTTGAAATTTTTTTCTTCGTTCTTTTACATTTGTATATATATATATATATATATATATATATATATATATATACCGTCATCCACAGACAGACTGTTTCGTAGCTCATCAGTGTGGCTAGACATCCGGTTGCCTCCAGCTAGGGTCGAAACCCGACTGAACTGGTGTCAGTCGGAGATTCTAACCATTAAGCCATCGGTAGGGAGGAGAGTGGATTTTTAGCTTGTTTATCTTTATAAACACGCCCAGTGACCGGGAGTGACTCAATTCGCATTAGCGAAGAGTCTTGCTATATAGCTATAATAGTCACTGTTTACCAACCCACATCTCCTCCCCAGAGAGCTCAACTGAAATTAATTTTTCAGGAGCCAATATATATTTAAAGGCATTTTTATGTTTATACATTCTTTTCGTAGATACAAATATTTAAATAAATGCCCTGTTTTATAATAAACAGTATTAATAACATTTACCGGCCTGAATGTCCGAGAAATTTTCATAGAAAATTCCGACAGGAATCGATCCTGTATCCTATACGGAACCGTCATTTAGCCTGACGTGCATTAACCGATCGAGCCGCGGAGGATCGTTCGATTAGCAAGGTCGATTTTACTGCTTTTAAACTTCAATCTTAAATGAATCTTTCACGTACATTCATATCTGCTCAAAGCGTATCCAA